CCTTCATGTCCTTCCTGCTCGCTGCTAGAAGTCGTTATATAGTAACCCCTTCTGGGGGTGCTATCTGCCCCTCTAATCCGTTGGAAGCTTGGAAACTGAACCACCAAACTTGCAAAACAAAAGATAAGGCTCAGTATACGACGACAGGGGCCCTGCTTTGAAGAAATGGGCAGCATCAGTGCTCAGCATCTGGAGTATCAATGCCTGGCCAGGGAAGTTCATGGGCAGCCTAACGGTGTGAGCAAGGCACCACTACTCTACATGACAGCTCCAGACAACCAGCAGTTAAGAAATTATGTCTTCCATAATTAAAGAAAAAACCCCAGGCTTCTGATGCAAGGATGTTCAACACTGCTCAATAAGTCAGTGAGACTAAAAAGGACAACTTTCTCTTTTTACACATTTTGCCTTAAACTTCCATTTTCCTTGATGGTATGCCTTCCCATAAAAAGAACATCACTGATATTGCCCTTCCCTGTTTTATAAACCGCATAACAGCGTCTGGCCAATGACGGCCGCATATACACCAGGGGTGTACCATACAGCCTAGTGCGCAGTAGGCTGTATCATTGCAGTTTGTGTAAGCACACTCTGTGAGGCTCACGCAAAGACAAAAGTCACCTGCAGGACGTATCCCCAGCGTTAAGCAGCACACGTCTGTCTTTAAAATCAGTATCATAGGGTTTTACACTTAAATTTTTTTTTCATCTATTTCATGAACATGTATTCTTGTCTCCTCAAAGTCGACCCAAGTCCCCGAGGGAAAAAAAGGCTGTTCACATTTCATTCTTCTTTTGCAATTTCCTGCCGGTTCAGAGGGCAGTGCTGGGCCCACTAATGATCCCTTAACGAACACTTACTGGTTAACTCAGCGTCACAACCAGTATATTCAAACATGTTCTACTCGTGGGTGTGCCAAGATACTGATTCCTTCAGGTTTTGGAGCAGGGGGTGTAGTGGTTAGGGGTTGGGGGAGCAGGAACCCTTTGGGGGCACTCGCCTCAGTGTGTGTGCCCTGATGTGAAAAAGGCTGGGAAACGTCGGGGTAAATGACAGATGAGAAACACTCCTGAAAAGAACTGGGAAAAGCCTGAATGTCCATAAAAAAAGGATGACGCTCTTTATGTGCCGAATGGAAAATCTCCCCAGACATGTAAGTGAAAACCAGCAAGATGCAGAGAGTGTGTAGAAGACGCTACCATTCATGTAAAAGGGGAAAGATATGCAAACTTATGGCTTATAAGTGTGCCTGGCAGATCTGTAAGGATATGCTGACTCACAAGAGGAACCCAAGGGCCGGCGCTAGAGGTGGGAAGACGTGTTCCAGGAAACCCTTGGTACTTTTGAATTTTGAATCATGTGACAGCATTAGCTATTAAAAAGACAATACATGTTTGCAAGTTGCCCAATCCATCTATACCTAGCTCCAACATTCATTAGCAATGATTATTTTCTACCCCAAACACCTTCATTACTCATCAAACATTGAGGGAATGTAATAAAAGCCAGGTCTGGACGCTGATGACCCAGCTGGGTTCCATTTGTGAAAACCCACTGTGTTCTACATGTATTAATGGTTTGTGCACTTTCCCACAGCTCTAATATGCTTCCATAAAAAGTTAAAAATACAGTCGGTTACTTAGGTCAATTTTCTTTTTGTTCCCTCGTACTAAAAGGGTAGTATATTTCATGTATTCACCCAAATAAAATAAATTATTGTTTTAAAATTTTCAATAATGTTTCTCAAAAAAAAAAAAAAAAACTCTGGTATAACTTGCGTTAGTAACGCTGACCCTGGGTGACACGGGGAAGCAGGCCTGCCAGCTCTTCCCGAGCGTTTCCAGCATATGAACAAGCTCAAGGCCCATTCGCCACTGGCTGCTGGGTCTTCACAGTGGGAGGGTTCAAACAAGCCTTGAGAAGCGCTACTGAAAACTGCCTTCTGGCTTACTACATTGAAATCACGGTTTTTCATTATGAAAATGGAGTCTTTAAAGCCACTTATCGAAAATGCCAAGGTCATAAAAGACAAAGAAAGAGTATGTGCCAATGTTCCAGGCTCAAGGAGGCTAAGGAGACATGACAACCAACTGCTGTACCAGACCCTAGGCTGGATCCTGTCATGGAGAAGGAAAAATTGTTACATGGGACTTGACTGAGTCAACAGATAAAATTAGAATATAAACAGTAGGTTAAAGTACCCATGTTAAATTTACTTAAGCTGTGGTTATGGAAGAGAATTTCCCTGTTCTTAGTCAAAATCCATTGACGTTATTTAAAGTAAAGGGCCACAATGTTAAGCTACTCTCAAATGGTGGGGGGTTGGCCTACGTCTCTGAAAATGGGGGGAGGGGAGATACTGGAGAACACAAGCAAATAATAACGCAAACGGAGTGAGATATTAACAGGTTACTCTGGGTATAGGGTGTATGGATGTTCTTTGTACTTGTTTTTTCTTTTGTAACTTTTCTGTGATTTCCAAATAAAGTTTTTTAAAGTTGCGTATTAGCAAATAACCACCAAAGTAATCAAAACAAGCTCAGAAATGAATCTGGGTTTTGATGATGACAGTTGCACAAGCCATTTTAATTATGTGAAACTGTAATCCTAAGGTATTATTGCAATTTGCAAAAATAAAAAAAAAATACACCTTCTGGCTAGGTTTATAAGAGGACTAAATAAGTACCTTCCAAGACCCAAAGCTTAACGTAATTACCTTTAACATAAAACTCCACCTCAGTAACTTCTCATAATGTGAGCCTTAATGGAGAAACTAGATTTAAGGAAGTTTAATAAAAGTTCCTCACCCACATGAGGGATTTATCTCACTTGAGTGGCGAACATAATAATAAATCCTAATAATGACTTGGGTTAGATGCATTTAGAGCCATCCAAAGAAAGAGACAAAAGAAATCAAAGGTCTAGTAAAATGTAAATTTCCCAATAAACAGATTTCTTAAAAAATTATAATGATGAGGAACTACACATGAAAGGCAAAACTTTAAATTCACAGAAAAATATATAGGAGAAAATTCCTGTCACCCAAAGAAGGGAAGCATTTCTTAAACAAGACACAAAAAGCACAAACCATCCAGGGAAAGAATGATAAGTTAGCCTACACTTAAATTCACAATTTGTATGATAAAAATACCATATTTAAAGTGAAGAGAAAAACCACATTCTGGGAGAAGATGGTCTCCAACAATGGAGAGAGGGTCAGCTGGTACAAGCCCTGTGGTGACAGGGTAAGCCGCAGGATCTAGGAAAGTCTCCGCTGTCCCCAGGCATTTAAAGCAATGAAAAGCAGAGGTGTCATGGGCTGACTGGCCCCGCTCCCCCGGACATCCCAAACAGGGACAGAGCACCACCCAAGGTTCCAACTTGTGTCCCACCAGATCCCTTAAGGTAATGAGGTCATTTACCAGACACACCAAGGGTCCAGACAGGGTAACTGAAAACTTGGGCGATTACATCTAATAGGGGGAGAACAGTCTGAACACTGTCTCCCAGCCCCTGCAGCCCCAGGATGACACCTTCAAGGAACTAACCTCAGGACACTGGCTCTCCTGGTGGCTACCCAGCAGGATGTAAGATACTACAGCATGACAGCACTAAGACACGTAGCTTTTGAAATTCTCTCTCAAATACAGGCCTAGCCTCTACAATTCCAGCAGGAAGGCTAGATTCCCAGCGATCAGGGGTAACAGAAAGCATTCCAAAATACACAAGGCATTACCTAGTTTAACCATAATGAAACATGTTAAGGTCATAACTACTTCATTAAGGATGGGGAAAATGCAGAAACACTGCCAGTTGTGCTGGGCTTAAAACTGCCATGAAATACCCAAACAGCTTTCCTTGCTGCAAAAATCCATGAAAACAGAGGTTCCTCCTAGATTCAGTGAGCAACAGCCTGTGCGGGGAGGGTGAGGGGGCTGGCACACAGAGATTAGAGGGTTTGTTCATATCACACTTGGGATTTAAAATGTATCTTTTATAATTAGAAAGTACATGAGGACTACTTCCTGTACACTTGAAAATGTCCACGTCCCTAAAAGTTCAAGTGAAAGAAACACTTCAAGGGATCAGGAGACATTTAAAAGCCAGTCTGGGGTGCAGGCAAGTACAGGCAAGAATACTATTCCTTTACCCAAGTGCTTCAGAAAATTAACTCAGAAGAAAAGCTAACAATCTGCATCAGAAAATCTGTTTCTTTTTCTTGGACAAAAGGCCTAGCAATTCCCTCTGCTCCTCACAACCATCAGTAGTGCCATAGATCTCAACACAGCACAACCTAAATAATTTTTTCCACTCTGACTAATAATATCAGATCCTGCAAACACAGGCGAGAGGTGCACATCTGCCAATAAAAACAGAAAAGTCAAAAGCTGACTCCTATTCTCTAGAACTATTAAAGAGAAATTATCTACAAGTAGACTTCCTTCAAAAAAATCGCATCTTTATGGCAAGAGAACTCAGAAATCACCTACCACCTATTCTGAGAGGATTACAGATTACAACAACTGTCGAAAAAGTCAAGGTTTAAAACAAATGCAAAGCCCAATGCTATCGGCTTTTTTTTTTTTTACATCATTACTCATTTTATGAATTCAAAACATGGAAGTTTCTAGGCTGTGCGGGTCAGCGTGACCAGATGAGGAAAGTCAGGCCTTTGGGAGAACAGGGAAAATACCCCAACACATGAGCGGCATCAGCAGAAGTGACTGGACAAATTTTCTGGATCGTCGTGAACCCATCATTGTGAGCTGCAGCAAACCGTTTATCTTTTCTTCGGGCCCCAAATGCCCTTATTTATTAACTAAGGAATCAAAAGCGTAGAAGGGCATGTTCTACGTAACAAGAGGCAACTGAAATTAAAACACGAAGGTAAATTGTGCAATGGCAACCCCCGCGTTAAGCCTTAAGGCGGACACACCGCCAGTCGCCTCTGACTGGCTCAGACCTACCGACCAGGCTAACAGACCGGGTTCCCGCCTTACCTCGTAGGACCAGACGCACTGCACGCCCGCGAACCTGCGCACGCAGCGCCCCACCTCCACGTCCTCGTGGGTGGTGTACATCTCCCGCAGGCACTTCCCGATGTGCGGCGCCATCCTGCGGAGCACCTCCCGGCTCATGATCACGCCCGGGCCCCCCATGCAGAAGTTCTCGCCCGGCTCCAGGGCCAGTTTGCCCATCTCCTCCGTGGTGCCCAGGCCCGTCTGCCCGAGAAACAGGGGCTCGCTGCTGTTCAGACTCCTCAGGAAGTTTTCCAGGCGGTCCCCTTTGATGTAAACGTCATCGTCCGCTCTCATAAACCACTCGTACTTGTCCAAATAGTGGTCGTGCACGTACTTGAGCATCATGAAAGACTTCTTCTGGGGCGGGTACGAGTCGTCCACGCCCCGCAGGGGCACGATGGGGATGGGGATGGAGGTGTCGGAGCCCTCGCTCGAGAAGAATTCGACTTTCCCAGGAATTGTCTTGGACCAGGTTCTGGAATTGAAATGATAGCAGTGAGAGCAGTTCACGCCAAGCTTTCCATTCCCAGAAAGTCACGTATCTGCTTATGCTGAATGATTCATTGTGTGTTTAAAGGGATGATAAGAAGCTACTTGATCTGCTCGCTTCCCCACAGCCCACATTCATTTTCAAAAGAATCCCAACAAAAAATAATGATGAAATGTTAAACTATTTCCAGGATAACAGTTTCAGCTGCAGCTGAAAACAATTGCCAGGCCAGCAAGGACTAAATATTCCAGTTAATTTTCTGACTCCGCTCTATAAAACAATAAAAAATAGAACTGCTCACTCAACACATTTTCTCTGACTGCCCATCGAGCACCGAGGATGTGCTAAGACCGGGATGCAGTGGTGAGCAAAACAAAACCCAACTCATGGAGCTCACACACTCATCAAGAGAGTCACACGACGTACGTGTGGCTGTGAACAAGCCCCTGAAAACAAGGCTCCCAGTCCTACAGAACATAACCAAAGGACGCAAACAGGACACAAACCCAGAACGCAGTGTGGGGGCAAGCTGGGCGGGGAGGACCGAGGCACACGGGGGGCTTTTCTGCTCCAAAAGCCACAGGAGCCAATGACAGGACGGGGCACATGGGAGATGAAGGGCTGCAGATTCTGAACCCCCAGGGGTAGAGGAGGGGCAGAAGGGGACCTCAGTGAGCTGCTACTTGAGCCCACAAGAGTTTCTAGGGGACTGCTCATCCCACTGAGAGGGGAAACTGGTGCTCAGTCCAAAGGACACAAGGCCGTTTTCCTTAGACGTTTTTTATACTATGTATTTAGAGCTGAAGTAGCCATGCGACAAAAATGCATTCATACAGACGACTTCTAGGAAAAACCTATCACAGAGGGCAAGTCGAATAGTAAATTTAGCCTTAATAAGATCAAAATGCCCAAGTTCCCAGATGATGTCCTCCCCAATAGATTTTTATTCAACTGTTACAACTGTGTTTATTAGCGTGAAAAGTGACTTGAAGGATCAAACACACATATCTCTAAGGGAAAGTCTTAGGAGAGAAATCTCTGAAAACAGGAGAGAAATGGGGAGGGTTTAGGGGTGGGTAAAGAGGACCCTCACTTTTATTCTGTGTGTCTCTGTACTGAGTGAAATTGCTATGGGCATGATATTACTTTGGGGAAAAGGGGTGGAATTTAATTGCGATAAAATATATATAGCCTGAAATTTACCATTTTACCCATTTTTAAATATAATGATCGGTGTGGCATTAAGGACATTCATACTGTTCTGCAACTAAATATTACCACCATCCATTCTCTGGAAGTTTTTTCATCTTGCAAACGTAAATTTCTAATGCATGGCGTTACTTTCATTAACTTTTAAAACAATCTACAATGAAGCACTTAAATAATTACTGACTTTTAATTCTCCTCCTAACCCAAATAAATATAAAGAATATAAAATGACTTCAAACTTATCTCATTCAAGCAAAGGAAAAATTTGATGGGTCTGAACTTTCAGTCAAACATACTTCTCAAAAAGTCCAAAGATTAAACATACATATATCGTTTCCCATCAAATCTAGGATTTCAACTGTACGATGCACCACTGTTTTAGGTACCAATAATAAAGAAAACAAAACACTAATCATAATCACATGATGCCAGCAATTGTAAAATGCACCCTGACATCAGAGAGGCTAAAATGTGAAAAAGGAAATGTGCATCTTAGGATGGAAGTAATACAGCAGTTGCAATGTTTCTCCCTTAATGCCTGTAGATTTTAAATGGACCTTATGCCACTTTCAGAACTCTTTAACAAGGAGTTCAGCATATGTGGAGCCCAACGGGACTACAGATGCTGTACCAGGAACTGTACTTCATTTTCACAAAGAATATGCCCCTAAAAAAAAAGGATATAAAGTAAATATAGCAGGGGTGGGGCAATGAATTTAAAGAGAACCCAAGCCCTCCCACAGAGAAAAGTCCATTTAAAACTGCAAATGAAGCGCCACGTCCCTAGACTGTATGATAACCTGAACGGTCTCTGGCACGGTAACAAGTGGAGGGGAGGCAATTTGCAGCCTGGAGAAGTCAGTGATGACGAAAACTTGTACCGAGAAGACCCCCATTCATGTCAAGGAGCCCCTGGTTCCTCCCCTCATGGAGAAATGATTTTTGTTTGGCAGTCACAACATTCTTTGAAAACAAATAATTTCAGTGCTTGGCATGCAATAGAGGTAAAAAAATACTGCCCACTCGTGTGATGTGACTTAAAGATGTCATGTGCGCGCGCGCGCGTGTGTGTGTGTGTGTGTGTGTGTGTATGCTCAAAAAGGCAGAAATCGTCTCTCGTATCTTTGAGAAATTTCCAGATGAGCTTCTCTCATTTTGCATAAGCCACACTAACATTTCCTACCATTCCTACATTCAGAAAGAAATCAGCTTGAACCACAGCCAGAAAACAAGTAAGAGGCAAAATGCACAGGCATGCTGGAGTTGAAATATACCACCATTCATGGCACTTCTGAAATATACTAGTTTCAAGCTCAATAGTCTGTTATTTTACAATCGATTTTAAAAGGATAAGGAATAAAATCAACTTGACTTTAGCTTCTACCCAACTGCTTCTGAACTAAAATGTGATTAATAAAACAGACCAAGTTCAAAGTAATACTAAAGTAGCCAACCCGAGAAGCCATTAAAATACTAAAGCACCACACCGTTATTTGGGGCATGGGGTAGGAAGGACATCTCCTGTCTTCAAAGGAACAACCTACAGAGGAGACAAGGCATAGATAGTGTAACGGTCAAGAGCACAGGCTCTAGAATCAGGCTGTTGGGGTGAGAATCCAGCCTTCACTTTGGGCAAGTTACTCTGTGCCTCACTTTCCTTATCTGTAAACGGGGGGCAATAATAGTCCCTGCCTCACAGGGTTGTGACGGTTAAACGGATGATATACCCAAAGGGTTTGGACATCGGCCTGGCAGGCAGGAAGCGTTATATAAGTGTGGCTTACTAGGGAAGAAAGAAGTTTGCAAATAAATAAGGGAGTGAAAGAGAAAAGGAGGGAGACAGGAAAGTGTGGGCTAAAACGTGGACTAGTCAGTTTCGATTACACAAGGGAGGGAAAATAATATGGAAAATGCCTCTACTCCCATTTCTGGCTAAAAACCTAGCACTCAAGCTATATATTAGAATTGTTTTACGATCAATCTCAGACAGTGTTAGGGTTAAAGCCTAACAAGACTTTCAACTTGAGTGTTTTCACTTAAAGCGCCAGAATCCTTCATATTAGACTGAGGATCAAAATTCCTGTTAGTCTCCACCTGCCCCACCAGACAGAATACGGCTCTAGAAGCAGCATTCCCATTACAGCCATCACTGATGCGAATTAATGCCTAAACTATGACTTGAAATGATGTCATTTGTCCAAGAAGAGAAACAATTAATTTTAAAGGCAGACAATCTAACCTCACAGCATCCTTAAAAGCCTCTCTGCAGTTTTATGGTAAATCCACCCGTTTATCTTTTCCTTTTTAGGGAACCCAGGGCAAAACCTCAAGTTGCCCTTTTCTGTTCTTAAATGACTGGTGGTTTGAGGGAAATCTCTCAATATGAAGTTTCTGTAAATCCTCCAATCTTAAGAAAAATGATGGTCTTTTCACGCAGGGAACCTTTACTTTAAACAGCTCCACCAAGTTAAAGAGCTCTGAACATAAATTGTGATTCACTGCCCTGGGGGAAGAGTGGAAGTGCATTCATAATTTCAAAGAAACAAAGGAAATGCTGCTGAAGAAACAAGCTGGCTCTCCTTCTGCGATAAAAACAGGTCAGTTCCTTAATTTTTATAAGCAAATGTCAACTTTGCCACCGACACGCTTGTTCCTGGGAGCAAGGAGCTCTCAGCTGAAACCACGAACACTTGCAGAGGCCCTTGCCAGGAAGCTCGGTTTCCAGTGGCCTGATAACCAACGCTTGCTATAAAGCCCAGATAAGACAACTGAAATGTGAGAGTGCCAAGCAACCTTCCATTCTGCCAGGCTTCTAAATGCGATCCTTATACCAAGTGGAATCACAGTGGAGCAACACAGCTGGACGATATTAGCGTCACTAAGGCATGCCTTTGCTGAGCTACCATCCCACAGCAGTGAGATTCCTACGTAGGGTCATTTTAAGAAAAACTATATCAAATACACGTCCGTACAAAATTACATCTATAGCATGACTGTTGTCCTGGATACACGTTCATAATACCGGGGGCGCCAAAAAAATACACATGACTTGTATTCATCTTTTATTATCGGTATATATTATTACAATTTTCATACAGTTTTTTCCTTTCTTAAAATGTGTATACATTTTTTTGGCACCTTTTGTATATAGATAAATTTAAAAACCAGGCAGCAGTGCAGACTCGAGATGTGGGTTATTAAGGGAATTACACATACAAAATAAAGTGCAACTCTACCCCAAAGTGTTTCCTGGGGTTATTTTTGGATGGAGCAGCAGAAGGGATTTAATTTTCTTCTTTGTGCTGTCCACATTTTCTGCAACAGATAGGCGTACGTAGAGTTAGAAAAAAATATTTTTTTTAATCTGGGGGAAAAGTTTAAAGCTAAAAAGCATCCTAAAGAAATAAAAAGATTAGACAACAGAAAAGTTTACTTGTGTGATAAAAGTATTTTTTTTTACTCTACCCAATGGACAAATACTAAAAGAAAAATGGAGTTAAGATTGAGTACTTTCACATTTTCTAAACTTTAAGTTATACTAATTTTTATAGATAAAAAGTGGAGGTTTTCTGTGAGTTCCCCAAAATCACTCTGACACGTGTCGTCTGACTGTTACAGCAGTTTAAAGGACTCATGTGATCAAACACCTCAGAATCTGGAGTCAGGAAGGAGGAAGAATAGTTTTCCCCTGGAGAGCTGATAGATAATAGGAATTCACTGCATGCTCTATTTATATTCTCCCCTACTACAGAAAGGATTTAAGACAACTTAACCAA